TCAAGATTTAAAGCAGCTCGTAAAACAAGAGCCAAAAAAATAATAATGGAACATTATATTGCCATTTCTCCCTCTTCATCCTTTCTCATCCCCCTCCCCCACCCTGCTGCCATGTGCACACTTTTTCAGCACTTTCACCACCATCACCTCTTAGTAATAAATTCAGCACGTCAAGATTTAGATTTGCTCCAAAGCGCAACCCATCCAGGAACATCTTCTGAACAATGATCCAACACAACCCGACTTTCAGAGAAAAACACTTCTAGGACAAAACTAAAGCTGCTCCTTCATCTCTGCTCCGCATTCTTATTAAAAATTATTAATTGGAGATCAAAGCAGGGAAGGGCTTGGAAAAGCTACCCAGGAAAATTGACCTACCTTCAGAAAAAATATTTGGCCACAATTTCTTCCAAGAGCAGCTGTTTAAACATATAACTGAGGTTGTGTTTTTTTTTAAGCCACTAAGTTCTCAGGCCAGCTGCCTGCTCAGATAGGAAGGCATTAATTCCCCCTCTGTCATGCTTTGCTTTACTGCTTGCCAATGATTGGGGAAACGATCCACTAAAAGAGCAAAGCAAGTAGACTCATAAAACGAAGGGGTCTGCTGTCCAAGAAGTATCTCACCTTCAGGGGAGTGGGTGATGTCAGAAATCTATAGTGACTCCCTTTCGGTAGGCTTAACTGCAGTTTAATAATAAGTGCAACTTCAGGCTGTCTGTGCAGACACAATTCTAAGTTTCCCCTGTGTAGAAGTGCGAGGCTAACAAGAATTCTCCTGTAAAAGACAGAAGGCAAAATAATCTGCCTCTTGATGCAACTGAATTAACTAAATGAATCCCACAAAGCCTGCTCTGGAAGGCTTAAACGTTTTTGTTGGTAACGCTATTTTATACATACATATATATGTATAAATATATTTTCACCAGGTAGACTATGCCACAAGAAGGAAGCCCCACCGTTCAACGGGACTCTCCCTGCGGGGTGAGGATGCCAGCTAGAACCGCGGGCTTTTCTCCTATTTACTACGGCGAACCACCACCATCTGCTCTTTCCGGCGCTACATTTCACGGGGAAACCCTTTTCCGAGGCAAATATTTTCTTGCAGGGGCCCCGAATGCAAGCGGCGCTTTCTTACAGTAGTTCAAGCACAGCTTCCTAGTTCCAAGGAGAAAAGAGCGAGTGGAAACGAAATTGGCGCTTTCGTCCGCTTCCCCCGCCGACGCTACTCTCCTAATGTTACTGCGTATAGTTCAGACGGCGCAGAGGCTTCCTGAGCCGTGTCAGTCCACCCACACACACACACCCCCGAGGGATTTCGGCAGCGCCTGGGGAGAAGGCGAGTCGAGGCCAGCCAGTCCTGAACCTGCCCTGCAATACGAGGCTCCCTCAGGAGACAGGGGCCTTCTGGAAGAGATCCCCCCCCATAGGAGCTAAGGCGTTCCCACGTTGAGACTTCGCTCCCCCCCCTCCACCCGCGTTAGCGTGTTTTCCCTGGCGCGTTTGGCACTCAATCCCTCCTGCTTGGGAAGGGGGGCCGCGTTTCAAGGGAAGCCTTATTATAGCCACAAAAATCAAATATCCCAACTCGAGAGGCCTCCGCCGGCCTTATGTTGATTTTTGCCCTCCTTTCTCTGAGGAAAGTTCAGGGCAAGAGACGTGCGCAACGGCAGCAGCACCACTGGGCTTTATTTACTTATTTATTTATTTATTTATTAAATTTATATACCGCCCTATCTCCCTTGCGGGACTCAGGGCGGTGAACAGGCGATACTAAAAACCACGATAATAAATAAATAGTTTGTTTTAAAATCGAATTAAATAACAGGCCTGTTCTAAAAACACACCCGTAAAAAAAACCCCACTGAAACATAATCAAACTACGCCAGGCCGGCNCCCCCCCCACACACACCCAGAAGGATGAAGAGGACCTGGTGGATCCGGAGGAGCCTTTCCTGCAGAGTTGAAGGTAACACATTCAGACTTTGGGGCTACTAAGATTGTTGAACGAGCAGGCACAAAAACAGCCAGGGAAGGGAAAGGGGGAGGGGGAGAACCCTCTGTCAGTCAACAGGAATGCTGATTTACCACCAGCATATCGAGTACTTAGAAGGTGAGGAGGGCTGGGCAGCACAGGCAAAGGTCAGGCAAGGACTGAAAAAGCCAGCATGGACCCCACCCAACATCTAAAAAAACCCACACACACAACAAGCATCCTGTAAATACCACACACAGAACAGCACACACTCTGCTAGAGAGAAGTCACGCAGGAGTCCGAAAGCTCGGAAGAAAAAAAAAACCTCTGGTCCCGGTGACCGACCCAGATTTGATCCCCCAACATTATCCTGGGACACGTATATTCGCCTTTATTCGGAAGCGATCCCTCCTCCTCCTCCTCCCCCTCCTCCTCGGGAGAAAGGGGGAGAAAAGGCCGCTCTTCTGGCCCAGCTACGGCTTCCTTCCGCCTAACCCGTAGCGTTGCCTCTGCCTGAGCCCGAGGCCGGGGAACAGGCCGGGCCCAGCACGGAAAGGCATAAACTCCCTCCTGGGAGCGGGGAAGAGTCTCCTCTATCGGGATCCTGGCTGGCTCCGGCGTCCGGGAACGCTGCTCGGAGGAGAAAGAACCTGGAAGAGTCTCAGAGCCCGTCAGCTCCTTCGCCGGCTCTCCCGAGACTCTTCCAGTCGGCCAAGCTCGGGTTCGTTTCCTCCTCGCCTCCGTCCCTTAGACCTGACCGAGCAGGCAGAGTCCGAGCCCGCCATTCCGGTTCCCTTTAGCGCCAAAGGGATCCTGTACCGAGCCTCTTCTTCTTAGCAACAGCTACCCCGGGGCGGCAAGACCTGGAAAAACAGCCAATCCGGCGGTGGCGGGGGGGGGGGGGAAGAGAAGCCCCCCCCAAAAAAAAAGTGTGGGTGGGGGAAGACCAGTTGGACCCACACACACACACACACACAACTTACCTGGCCTCTCCGCCGTGCACCGGCAAGAAAGAAAACGAGAAACAAAAGAGTTTCTGCAAAGATCCCGCCGCTGGGCTGGAGCGACTCAAGAGGGAACTGAGACAAGAATCGTTTATTCTCCGACCTGCGGGACACACGCAGCTTCCCCTCTCCTCCCCTCCCCCCCCCAATGCCTTTCCCTACAGGGCTCCGAGAAGTCTGCACAAGAACAGGAGGCAGCTGAGTGCAGCCAGATGGGTTTGTGGTCGGGCAGATTCGCCCCCTTAAAAAAAATCGACTGCTCTCGCCGCCTGGGGCCATTTGCTTTGGCGGCTGCACAGCGCACTGCACCACGTCTGCCCGGCTCTCTCTCTTTGCAGCAAACCCACAATAAATCACGAAAACAATTAGGTGAACTCCCCCTCCCGCGCTGCCCACCTTCCCCATAAAACGTCTCCGGTGGATAATATCTGTCTACGGGCCACTGTAAATCCCAACTGCCTTTTAAGGAAAATCAAAAAGGCGGTGGCGGATCAAAACCAAGCCGTAAAAGTTAACAGCGCCGTAAAAAAAAAACAAAAATCCAGTTCCACTAAAAAGCCTCACCCCCCCCCTCCTTAGCAGCCCACAGGCCCACTCGTCCCACCTTCCACGAGTTCTTCTTCTCCACTTTTGGAGATCGCTGTAAAATTTTCCCCTCGGTCAGCAGACATCCGTACATCTCTTTCTATCAAACGGCTCCAAAACACTCCAGAACCACAAAGGCACAAATAAGAATTATGCCTCAATTTTGAAAATAAAAATGCAACCCCCCCCCCCAAAAAAACCCAAAGACTTACAGGCTCAACCATACTTGCCTCTCTGGATTCACATGAAAGACGTGTCACATTTTTTTCTCTCTACGCTAAGTGGAGAAACCCAACAACATTCCATTTCGCAAGACAGTAGAGAAGAGAAAGTTTAGAAAGTGCCCGTTCTTGGTTCCTGGGGACTCCTGTGGTTTTCTCACTTCCCCCGGACATTTGTTTCTTTTCCAGACCTCCCCAGCACTCTTCCTCTGCCTGTCGAAGAGTGTTGTGGAGCTGGAAAGCTCGCCAGCTGCCCGAGCCTCACAGCTGGAGCTCTGAAGTTGGTTCCCCGCACCTCCAACACACACGCGGAGATAGGACATAATATAGATGTATCAGGGACACTTTCGCTCGCGGCGATGTGGAGCGATCGCGTCCAAGAAATTACTTATTCATGATAAAAAGTCACATGTCTGAACCGACGCAGGGAAAGAGAAAAGGGGGAGAGGGGAGAGGAGAGCTGAGGAGGGGGGGAGGGGAGAAAAGAGAAGCCGAGCTTCGCGTGGCGGGACGTAGCCGGGAAAGGCGCCCACGAGGAGAGAAGCCACCCACCTGTATGAGTCCGCTTGTGGATCTTGAGGTTCTCGGAGCGGGCGAAGACCTTGCCGCACCCCGGGAAGGGGCAGGGGAAAGGCTTCTCGCCCGTGTGCACGCGGATGTGGTTGATCAGCTTGTACTTGGCCTTGAAGGGCTTCCCTTGGCGGGGACACTCCTCCCAGAAACACACGTGGCTGCTCTGCTCGGGCCCCCCGACGTGCTCCACCGTGACGTGGTTGACCAGCTCGTGCATGGTGCTGTAGGTCTTGGAGCAGGGGGGCGCGCCGCCGCCGCCGCCCGCCTCGGCCTCCAGCCACTTGCAGATCAGTTCTTGCTTAATGGGCTGCCGCATGTAGCGCAGGAAGGCGGCGGCGGCGGCGCCCGCGTGGTGCGACGACGGCGGCGGCGGCGCGTGGTGCGCATGTGCAGGCGGGTGCGAGTGGTGGTGTTGCTGCTGCTGCTGCTGCTGTAAAGCGGCTGCAGCCGCCGCCAAGTTGACCGGATAGCCGTGCGGCGCAGGGCCGTAGGACGCTTCGGAGCCAGCGGCGACGGCGGCCGAAGGGCGGAAGGGCTCGATGCGCCCATAAAACTCCGCGGCGGCGGCGGCGGCGGCGGCCACGGCCAGCCCCAAGCGCATCTGGCCGTTGAGCGAGTGGTGCCCAGCGGAGGTCCCGGCGGGGTGCTCGTGCAGGCCCGGGAAGACGGCGGCATGAAGGTCCCCCCCAGCGCCGTAGGTGCCGGCCGAGGAGATGAACATGGGCGAGCTGGCGGCCGCCGGGGGCTGGTGCAGCTGCGGCGGATCCCCCCGCACGCCCGCCTCCCGCCGCAGGGCCAGCTCCCTGCCCGCCGCCGTGTAAGGCTGACTAGCCGAGGCGGGAGCCGCGCCGTTGGCGCCACGTCCGCTCCCGGCGGATTGCAAAGAGGCGGCCGCGGCAAAAGTCGCTTCGGGGCTAGCCGGGCTGAGCTTGATCGCCGCCGCCGCCGCCGCCACGTGCTCAGGCCCGAAGGGGGCAGTAGCAACCGGGTCCGAAGAGCTCAAGTCCCCCGGATGCAGGGGATGGAAACCGCCGCCGCCGCCGGTGGCGCTGCTGCTGCTGCTGCTGCCGCCGCTGAGGGAGTCGGCCAAGCGCAGGCTGGGGCTCCTCTTGCAACTCAGCGCGGGCTCCATGCCGCCGCCGCCGCCGCCGCCCAGTGGCCCATCGAGCCGCACGGGGGTAGCCCGGGCCTGGGCCAGCCCGGCGGGGGCTGAAGCCTTCCTCCCCCTGCCCGCCGCCGCCGCCGCCGCCGCCGCCGCCGCCACCGTCACCAGCGCCGCCGCCTTGCCAAACATGGAGCGATTAAGCAGCTCTTTAACTTCTTTTGTCTCCTCCGCTTCCCAACTCGGCTGCTCAATTCCATCCGCTCCCCGCTCTGGCCTCCAGCGATTGGCAGAGCGCTCGGCACATTTGAGCGGCGCGGTTGGGAACCAGAGTTTGGAAATGTGCGCGGGTGGGATTGGAGGGAGACCGATGATTGGCAGAGGCCAGGGGCAGCGCGATTGGCTCCCATTCAGGCCGGGCGCTCAGCGGGGAACCGCCCTCGCGCTCCTGCCTGCGTCCTCTCCCCCTCCCCCTCTTTATTTTTTTTTTTTTTCGCACTTGCTCGAGCTCCTTCTTTCCCCTCCCTCCCTCCCCCGAAATAGTTGCCCTCGGCGGAAAAAAAAGAGAAAGGGAGAGAAAGAAGGGGGAAAGTTCGCGCCTCGTCGCCGAGGAAGCGCCAAGCGAGCGGCGGCCCGTGGCGGCGGGCAAGGCGGTTGCCTCGAGTCCACAGTTGCCTTGGGGAGGAGCTGGGGCTTCCCTGCCACCTGTAGGGCGCCGGGTTTGCAGCTGAGCCAGGCGCTCGTTGAGCGATCCGCCCGAAGCTGCAACTCCGCTCTGGGTCTTCTGGGAGCGGCGCCTCTCCCAAGTCTTGTGTTTACAACAGGTTGTTTCTTGGCAAAGGCGACGCACAGGCGCGTGGAGAATGACGGCGGTTCTAACAATCCCCCATTAATAGCTGCGTCGTTGACACTTCGGCGAGAACGCCTGAGCTCCTGGTAGGACTAGGGAAGGACGGTCCCCATTTCAAGGAACTTTCCCTTACCGAGCCGTCCTGCTGATACTGTCCGGCCTCAGCCGTGGCGTCCGCCAATCCTTGAAAGAGCCAGTCCCACCCGAGGGGGACAGGGCGAGGGTGCAATTTTCCACGCGGGCACCGAAAAGGACCCGTGGATATCCGTTTGTCCTTCGACACGCCTTACTGAGGACCCGGGCGCTGACCTACCCGAGGCGGCCTCGTGGCTCCAGGAAAGCCGCTGCCTTGCCAGAAAGAGGAGGCAACGAGAGGGCTGGAGAGCCGCTGTGGAGAACTGCCACCGTCCCTTCCTTTGGATAAAGCAAAGAACTCATTGCTGTAACCGCTGGGGCAGGGAGAATTCGTTTTCCCAGAATTTCGTCTTAAAATGATCGAGTCTCCAAAAAAAAAAGGAGATCCCCCTTTTTTAGTCCCCCCACCCCACATCTCCTCTTCCTCTCCCCCCCTGTGGTTGAATTAATCCCGCAAATATTAAATCCTTGCTACCGAACTTCCAAATTTTTCTCGCGCCTTTCGGTTCGGTTTATCCAAACCGTTTCCTTTAACCCTTTGGCGGGGGGGGGGGGGAAATCCTAGGTCTCAGAGTGCTCTGTCCTCCGCCTAAAGTTCGTCAGGCCCTTTCCAGAAGAATATCTGGCTCTCAAAACTGTTTTCAGAAGCAGGTGGGGGAAAAAAAAACAAACCCAGGAACTAGTTCTGGTCAGAAAGAATCAGAGGAGGGAATGGCGGGCACCCAACTCTAGCTCCTCCCCCTCCTCCTCCTCCCGCTCTTCCTTTTTCTTACATTGATGCAAATAGATTAATTTTTGTAGATTCGTACGTTCCAATGAAATTAATGCGATTTGCCTCCGGGGGGAGGAGGGGGTGGGGGTGGGGGGTGGCTGTGGGAATGGCAAAGCCAAGCCTCTGTAGGGAAAGTACTTGCTCTAAAAATCTGGGATGAGGGAATACAATATTGCGATTGGGAAACGGAAGAGGAAGGGAAGCGGCCTTGTGGGGACCGCGAGCCGCTGCTGGAGCAAGCCTCACAAACGGGCAGCAGTAGCATTTCCTTTAAAACAAAAAAAAAGTTACTAGTCCAGCTTAAAGAGCGCGCGAAAAGACTCGGCGGGGGCTCTGGCGCTTGGATCGACGCGCCGCCCTAGACGGCGGAAGGCTGACTTTTTTTTTTGGCCAAGGACCTGCATCTAATTTGCCACAGTCGGAAGCGGTGCGGAAAGCCTCCCACGCCAAGTTCAATTTTCCTTGCAATAAAAACGATAGACTTTCCTTGAGCTTTTAGCCTAGAGAGAGGGGGGGGAGGGAGGGAGGAGACCCCCTTCCCCCAGGAACCGCCCCCACTTTCTCACTTGCCCTCAGGTCGTGAGATAAGGAAGGGTCAGTCATTACAAGCTTCTGTGAGGATCTGGCCACCCAGCGAGTAGCGCGTGTGCTTCTCATTAAATATCTTCCCGAGCAATACCCACCCATCTTTCTTTCCAGGTAAAACCCACTGGGTCCAAAGGACTCTTATTCCCTAGCAAGCTTTTTTTAAGATCCCAAGTGTCCAGAATAAATACACTTTTCAGTGATTCTTTCCCCGTTGTGCCCTTCCGCCTTCCCGTTCGGATGGGTGCTTATGGAGGAAAGGGGTCTTAATCGAAGTCTCGAAATCAAACTGTTCTCCCGCAGGTGCCCAGGTCAACCACAGCGGCAGGCGTGAGTTACAGTACTGCAGCTGCGCGCAGGTACCTCTAAGGGACCCCCCCTGTCCCCCACTCTTGTCCAGTACAGCAAGATGGTATGGAGCTGCCATCGATTTCGAGCGTCTTAATCCCAATTGGTCTCCCTGACCCATTGCTTTTTTGTTGGGATCTCCAAAACAGTCGGTGCGAGGCTGGAAGGACAGGGGAATATCGTAACCTTGCACGTGGGGATGGTCTTTCGGTTTGGGACAATATGGACGATATTCTTAGTCGGGCCGATTGGATGGAAAACATACAAGCTGTTTTTGAAGAGGCCCGACTCTGTCAACGCGAGCTTTGAGGATGTGAGATTCGCACCTTGTACATTCAACCCTAGGCCAGGGCTAAGAAGCCCATCCTGAGACCCAGACTGCCGTTTTTGTTACCTCGGGCGAAGATAACAAAATGAGGGCAGACTGAAGACTGGTTCCCTCCCTCCCAACCACAACCACCACCACCACCACCACCATCATCATCATCATCATCATCATCATCGCTATTATCTTCATCACCACCACCATGGTCCCTGATTGTTAGTGCGCTAAGGAAAGCGCCTCGTCTGCCCGGTAGCTAGATAGACCTTATTCCTCAATCCTGGAGTGGGAAGCGGTAGGCTCGCGTCTGAATCCAGTAAAGCAGGGAACAACCGCGCGCCGTTATTATTAGGCAACTGGTCTGTAAAACCAGGCCTGTCTGACCAGGATTCCCTCTTCGAAATTGTACAGGGCGAAAAATTCATGTTTTGTTTACTACTGTGGATCATTCAAACCCTATCAGAAGAAACAGGCAGAAATTCGCTCACGATAAGGAGTATTTAGTTTAATTTTGAAATACCGGTTCCTCCACTTATTTCGCCCAATATAGTATATTTTCCCAAACCAATTACTGTAATAAGTCTCTTTCCTTTCTCTCTTCTCGTTTGTTTATTTGTTTTGTTTATCTCCCTTTCCCTCCTTTCTATTTCAGCCCACTTGCACGTTTCGTAAATCAGCTCTCTAGAGTTCGTGTTTTTGTTTGCTTGCTGTTTAAGGCATTTGTTTCACGGTGGCATTATGCAAATATATGATAATGATCTCGAAACCCATTTGCAAGTAGTTGTCTTTAGTGCACACATGTTATTGATATTCGGGAGGTGGGGACGATATTCTAGAATGGAGAAAAATGCCTTCTGGGGAATAATTAAAACGAGAGAGCAATTAACAGCTTTTCTCAAGATCTTTTAAAAAGCCCTGCCAGCAGAACAGGCATCACATTCTTTAGGGGCGTGCGCGCATACACACACATACACACACACACACACTATAGCTATATTAGTCAACACACTGGATTAAGTCAGTTGAAGTTGGGTTAGTTTTCATTTTAATTAAAGCCCTTCCTTCCTCCCCCTCCCGCCCTCCCTCCCATAGCTTAGTCGCTTTATGTTCGATGTGTTATGTATGCAGAACACAAAAAATAATTCAATAATTGGGCTACGTACGTTGTGCAAATCTAGGCATGGGAATCGGCTAAGAGAGAGAAGAGATATGTGTGGAGAGAACAACTTATTCAGCTACGATTTTTTTAGATAGTGACTCCGGGATAACGTTCAATAAATTCCTATCCTTCCTCTCAAAATCAAGGAGTTTGGGAGAGATTGGTTTTCTCTCCCTTCCTCCACAAGTACCTGTTGGTAAACTTAATGTCCTCACCCCATCCCTTCTTCCATAGGAACTAGAATCCCGCACCTCTCATAAGGCGCACATACTTTGTCCTAATGAAACCAGTAAATTAAATAGCTGTCCCAGCCCATTTCTACACTAGTGATTTTACTGCGACGCCCAGCCGTTGCTATGGCGATCTATCTACCATTAATGAAGACAAGCTTTCCATTGCTATAGATTGATGCTATAAATCTCACGTGTGGACCTTGCCCCACTGAGCTTCACGGACTGTTTGGTTCTTGATTCTGCCCCCTTTTTGCCCCAGCTTCCATTAAAAATATTTTCTGCTACTGAAAATGTAAGGCTTATCTAGCGTATTTAGAGCCCTGCAGGGTTAATTCAGCAAATTCCTGCAGTGAAGTTGGAGGAAAAAGGAGGGAGTACAATTAATGGATGGAACAGCTTGTCTCCCAGAGTTGTGGGTGCTCCATCACTGGAGGTTTTCAAAATTAGAATGGGCAACCATTTGACCAGGGTAGATAGAATAAGGTTTCCTGCCTTGAGCAGGATTGGACTAGAAGACTTCTGAGGGTCCTTCCAGCCCTTTGGTTTTATGTTCTAAAAGGGTTACGTTTTACTTGATCTTCTGCCACTGTGGTAAGAACAGGTGAAAAGCATTATTGTAAGGCCTTTGGGCCTTTTTAACTCTTCAGAGTAGAACAAATGTGGGATATTCAGGTGGGTCCCTCAGCAAGATCCGAAAGCTGTTTAAAATCAATGGCTAATGTATCCAAGTAATAATCAGTATGCCAAGCAAATGGATTTCCCAGTTAAAAACTGCTGCCTCCCATGCT